TTGATTAGCTCCTACACTTGGAAAAGAATCAAAAGTCCATGACGACTCCTTTGAGCAAATTAAGCAGCAGCGTTGGATGAGCAAGGTTTGGAGAGACAACAAGGTTTTTGATTGATCGATGGAATCTAAGAAGCATGGTTTTGGTAATTTAATAGAATTTCGCAGTGAGTTTTTTTTTCCTTGTGGCCACAGATTTCAATATTGCCTTGAACTCAATGTTAGATGCTAACATCCGATTGGACCCTTTGTTTACTTGGTTTTAGATCTAACAAGAGATTATCAATATTAGTTGCTGCTTTGCTAGCGGTCTTCCGAGGCACCGTATGCTTTTTCAATGGTTTTGTTTTTGTGATCACCTAAAAATATAGAGAGGGCATTATCTACCCTTTAGAATAATTGCTATATATATGTGATAGGGCTATCCGTGGGGATTGTTTATAGAAATTCATATATAATCTCAATTTTTTTTATTTTAATAAAATCTTTATTTTAAATAAAAAGAAAAAAAATTTTCAGGCAATGGATTGTAGACGGAGTTTTACAATTTTGTGAATTAAGTTAGGCCTATGAGATTGAATTAAGATTCAAGAGAATGTAATATTACATCGAAGTGTAGCTATATGAATGCATGCGCAATAATATCACTGGACGTTCTGCATGTATGTCCACTCGAGGTGGATCTTTCGTGCACTACTGATCATGTAGGGGTCAGCTACCTCAGACCTTGAGTTTGTTTTATTATATCCTACTTGATATAAAATAATAATAATAATACCACAGAATGATAGAATCACATCCATGATACACCACAGCGGGGCACTAATAAGCAGTATTTCTTCCCTCACATTCCCAAACAAGTCACATCGATCAGGCATGCATCAATGCAAAGCTGTACGGAATACAAAATGATTGCGCCACCCTCCATCACCATTTTTCTCTATTTGAGGTGTCGACAGCCACAGGGCCACAGCCCCACATCCACAGTGCGGAAAGGGAAGTGAGCCCCCTAAGGCTAAGCCCAACACTAGAGAATGCGCGCCTGCGGAGATTATTTTTTTTTTCTCAAAAATGAACTAAACTAAACTATCCTGCAAACCAGAAAAATGAACTAAACTAGAAAAGTCAATGAAAATGGCATCCTCAGAGCAAATTAATCATTCGAAGGATTTTTTTTTTCCCAAAAATGAACTAAAACTAGAAAAGTCAATGAAAATGGCATCCTCAGAGCAAATTAATTATTCGAAGGATTTTTTTTTCCCAAAAATGAACTAAAACTTTCCAAGAAATTCTATTGAGTACTTGTTTATTTTCCGAAGGCCATAGAAAATATTGAAGGATTTATTCAACCTCTATTTGGTCTCGTTCAAAGGCGCCGATGGAAGAAAAAAAAAAAAACAAATTAAGAAAATTCTAAGAAAAAATTTCATCGAGTCGAGACTTGATCGATTGATATTTGGGGATTATGGGAAAGAGAAGGCAACAGAGAAGAAAAAAAAGGCTTGGACAAGTACTGAAAAAGATTGGACAGGGACATGCAGATGCCAATGCCACGCCAATGTCCTTATCTCCTCATCTATGATCTACGCTCTCTCTCCCACCCAATCAAAAGATATAATACTTCGTACAAATTAGTTAGGCGGAAAAAAAGTTGTGTACCACATCAATCCTGCCAACTAATAAGAGGAAACCCAAAATATCTCATGCCACCAAGCAAAACCAAATACCCTCCCGCCCCCCATCCCCTTTTTTTTATCATCCAATCAAAACCAAATACTTAAAATAAATAATTTCAATAATTTCATATGGAAATCCCTCCTTAAAACCACCATTTTTATCTTACTCTCCTACTAAACTTATCGTGTACTTTTGTTTTTTTTTTTGGGGGGGGAATCTTGAAATGCATGTTAATTAAGCTCTGCAGATGCTTAAAAGATAATTTTATCTTTAAACAGAGGAAGTGAATGTCAATGAAGGGTTTGACTTAGAAAAAAAAAAAGATAAGGATTGACCAAAAAAAAAGAATCAAAGATATACAACATGTAAAATAGATATTATTACATGACGTGATAAAAGAAAATATATACAG